GGTAGATCACGTTGCCTAGCTTCAAATCCATCTCCTTCTCTCCACGTACGTGTATACGCTGACCGGTGGCTGTTACCAAATTAATGCGTTCTCGGTTGTATGCGGAGTCCCCAAGGAACTGACTTATAAGTTGGGAACTAACAACCGTACGAGAGGCTCGAGTGTCTATGGTCAGCTTACACGGCATTCCGTTGATCTCGCCCTTTATGATTAGGCTGTTCCCATCATGGGTTTGTGAGATCGAGATCCTTGGGGCTCTTTTAACATCAGCCAGCACCCGCTCCGCAGTTCTGGCTTTTACTCGTTTCCCTGCTGCTGCTGGCCGCACTACCCTCCTGAGATCGTTCAATTTCCCTTTATAGGGTTCTCTTAGGGCAGCTGGATCGAAGATGGCCCTTTTCCCCACAGCCATAGCACCTAGGGCTGTATCCTTTGTTGCGGTCGCGAACTGTAGCTGCTGCAACCTCCCTGACGCGATGGGAACGATGATCCTGCCGCACGGCTTCCACTTCCAGTGCATGGGCCAAGGCGTACTTAAGCGTCTCGTGGTGCCCGAGCCTCACAGCATCTCTGACTTCCAGCTGGCGGATTTCGTCGATGAATGTCTGCACCATGTTCCCTTCAATGAGCGCAGGTACAGACCGGTATGCTTTTCGCACCAGCTTCTCCACTTCTAGAGCCCACTGCTGCAGGTTTTCGTTGATGCGCTGCACACGATCTGCTGCGCACGAAAGACGTGTTCCAGGTTAGCGTCGCCATATCTCGCCTCCAATGCCTCAAGGAGTTGCTCATAAGTCACTTCCTCACCGAGAGCTTCCAGAACTGTTAAGGCCTGGTCACGCAGGCCTAGTGTGAGAGCAGTCATGGCCTGATTTTTATTCCAGCCGTTCGCCTTCATAACAGCCTCGAACTGGATTTTGTAGGCTGACCAGGAAGAAGTCCCGTCGAACGGTGGCACTTTGAACCCACGTAGCGAAGGTGTAGTAGCTACTACGGGAGCTGTATTTCCATCACCCAGTTTGAGTTCGTCCAGTGATTTCTTCATGTCAGACATTACGTTGTCAACCCTATTGTTCACTTGGTCGATTCTGGTTTCAGCTTCCGACAGGCGGTTGTCATGTCGAGCAACCTTATCCCTCACCTTCCTTATCTCTTTCCCGAAGGTAGCGTGAATTTCCTTCATGAGGAGCATCTGCTCTTCCTTATCGCGCTTGGGAGCTGCTCTTCCAAACGACGGACCTGTTCCTCCTGTCCGCGCTGCAGCTGCTGCAGCATCACCATCAGAGCACCTAAGTCAGGTGCTGCAGATGCAGGAGCTACTGACGGGCCGACCTCCGTTCCCTGCGGCTGACCCTCCGAAGTCTGCGGCGTTGCACCACCAAATCTTCTTTGGTCCGTCTCCTGCTGGCGTTGACTTCGGGTACGGACACCCTCCGTTTCCTCCTTAGGTAAAATCGGCATGATTTTATCCCACTTCTGACACCAATTGTTAATAGCTTGAGGTTCGTGACAATAAAAATTGACGATAAAATTACCTAAATTAACACTTTAATTTACTTTACACAAATTAAAGTTAAAAACACTAATAATTAAACACACTAATTCACTTTATTCCGCTCCGAAGCTTCGCTTTTCTCGCCAAATCAACACTGCCTCGATCGGATCTTGCAGCGCCTATTTATATAAATTAGCAAAGAAGCATCCGGAATATTCAAGTAAATGCGCGCAAAGGGACGAGTGTGCGAGTGTAGATTTTCTAGAAACTTAGTTCTTCGGATGGCGCTGTCGGACGAGAGATTTGTGATGTCATTTTCTGCAAAGCTCCCCTCGCTCTCGTTCCTGACACTATATGGCGCTAGTTGACTTATTGCACGCAACAATATACTTACTGCTTAGCATTAATTACTTAGACACCAAGATTTTTTTAGGATTTTGAAGAATTCAATCTTTACGGGAGTTAAATAGGGTTTTTTCTTAATATCATTGGGTAAAAATGAACACACACTCCAGCTGGTGGTAAGTGTATGTGGCCAATAAACATCGACATTAATCTTCAAATAAGAATCAAAATACAGATGCTTTGTTACCACTGAGTACTAAGATGGAATGCCTCGATTCCAGTAAAAAGGGTCTCCGGTTCTCTACACTCACCATACGAAACACATCAGCATTAAGCTGCTATTTTACGCTGGTTTTTTATGAGTGCTGGCGTGTTCCTGCTGATCCACTCGTGCTACAACTATTATATAGGTGCAGTGTGGCTCTATCACGTAAAAAAGGAATGTTAAACTTGTATTTAACCTAAACCTTTGCGGTATAGCATGGTGCGGCTGAAAATTTACAGTTTAGTGTCTAGGAATGGAACAATATTAAATCGATTTAAAAAATGCGTGTACAAATGCTATACAAAAGCAAAGCAAAAATTATCGATTAACTATCAATAAAAAATTAAAACTGGAACATATATTTCCTTATAGATTACAATGCATGTAAATTTTAATTACACTTTAATACAAATTATGACACCATTTTGGTATAATTTTTATTATTATTATTGAGGTATCTATATAGTTTTCTCATCTGGTTGGTTTCTATAAATATATAATTATAAATTAAATTGAAAAGGTAAATATACATAAATATCAATAAAATAAAATAAATACAAAAATAAACAAATAAATAAAGAACCAACCAAATGGAAGCCCTCGGCAGGGGAGACCAAACGGCCGAAGGTTAGGACGAAAGGGAAAGAAACCGGCGGAAGATGCGGGCGGTACCGAGGAGCACTGCCTTCTGCATTTGAGCCCGGAGCGGTCCGTCACGGAGTCCCAGTCGCCTCAGATGACCCGAGAGGCTGACTGGGATTAGCCCATTCGCAGAGATGACCACAGGAATAATTTCGGCCGGCATACCACCCCACATGTCGGTCACCTCGTGAGCCAGGTCCAGATATTTTGTTCGCTTATCTGTTTCGGCTTTCACGAGGTTCTCGTCATACGGAATGGTAATGTCGACTAAAAATATTCTTGACTGAGCCCGGTTCATCAACACAATATCATGCTTTTTCGCAAGAATAGTCCTGTTCGTGATATTGGCCCGGTCGCAGTAGAGCCCGGCGCGGTTATTTTCGAGCACAGCTTCCGGCAAGTACTTGTAATACGGCAATTTCCGGTCCACGAGACTGTATTTCAGAGCGAGCTCCTGGTGTAGAATTCTGGCTACTAAGTTGTGCCTGTGCAAGTACTCAGTTAGAAAGCGCCGAACAACCAGAGATGACATGCCTAAGTGACTCCCCGGGGTGGCGACATGCTCGACAGACGTCGACGGTGCCATCTTTAGGATGTGTCTCCGATAGTTGTTGGTCTTAATAACCTGATCCTGTATTGCACAGATAAAACCCTCGGTTTCCCCGAAGAGGTCACCGAAACGTAGCCAGTTGAAGGAGGCGACTATATCTACGAAGGGCTTATGTAGAGCCCTGTAGTACCTCCCGTGAACCTCCTTCTCCTTCCATAAGGTATCCCGATCGGAAATGCTAAGCACTGCTGGGTCCTGCCATTGCTCGTTGGCTAAGGATAGAGGGGTAAGCTCTTTATCACTCGAAATGACGTCACTATAGAATGGATCATCCGATCTCGTCAGGAAGTATTGACGGAGACTGCACACTTCGCGATTATGCATGGTGAGCGCGTTCAGGAAGCCACGCCTACCATGCTTTCGCGGCAAGTACAGCCTCATTACCGACAATCTCGGATGATGTATCCTATGGGACGTCATTGTAGTTCGGACTTTTCTATCCAGGACGTTAAGCTCAGTCTGAGTCCACCTAAGTATGCCAAAGGTATACATGAGGACAGGCTTGACCCAGCCGTTATATGCGTGTGACTTATTCGCACCGGACACACGTCGCAAACTGACTGTTTCATACCAGCCTCATCAAAACCGATGTTCTGTGACATACCCAGGTATCGGTATGTTTCAGCCTCGGAAAGGGTGCTTAAGTTGACGGGAATAGATAAGTCTATGCCTTCAGATTTAGCAACCACCCTTTCAACATGGAGGACCGCACAATTATTCATTCCCAGCTCCATTCTAATAGAATTGCTAAATTCACAAGCGATGTTTAGAAATTCCATAAGATGGGAGCGACTGGAGGCGAATAATTTGAGTTTATCCTTTCCGAAGCTGAAATCCCCTCCCGGAACCCTCCAGTAAAGTACTGAGAGGGTTCAAAGAAAGGCAGAACCAGATTGGACTCAGACAGTCGCCCTGGAATATACCCCTTCTTATCCTTATGCGGCTTTCCGCAGCCGTCATCCGCTCGCCTAGATGACAGAGGATCGTACATCACTGCCCCATACACTGCTCGAGGAAGTCTCAAACTGTACAGTCAATCTTGTACAGCTCGAGCACCCTCTTTAGTCATGTATGGGGCACCGAGTCAAATGCCTTTCTGTAATCTATCCAGGTGGCGGAGAAGTTCCGACGGTTGCGTTTCACCACTTTGCCAATGACCGCGTCAATGAGGAGTGGTTCCTTGGTTCCACGGCCGCCGCCCCGACATCCATTTTGAGCGCGCAACATCACCTGATAGGAGTCCAGGTGACGTGTGATTCTCGCGCTCAAAATGGACGTTAGTGTCTTGTATATGGTCGGTATTAACGTGATGGGGCGGTATTTGCTCGGGTCTGTGGCACCCTGATCTTTAGAAACCAAATAAGTGATTCCAGTAGTGAAGAGGCTTGGGAGCGACTTCTGGTTGAGAGCCTCTTGAAACTGTCGGGCGAGCACAGCATGACACACCATGAACCCCTTCAGCCAGTAGTGATGCAGCCCGTCAAGCCCCGGACATTTCCAGTTCAGGGCCCTACGGACCACCTCAGCTACGTCATCCGGCGTTATGATGACGGGTCCATGGGCGTAATACCCGCACACTGACTCGCCACAACTTCCGCCCAAGGGCCCTCGTTGTGGTTTACGGGCTCTGACCACAGGCTGCGCTAAAATTCAACCGTGTCGGCCTGATTCCTTACTGGGCCCGTTCCACTTACCATTGGTCGTCCCAATGATTTATAGAGCCTCTTCTGATCACTCTGGAAGAGGCGATTCTGGTTGAACCATGTCGACCTCTCGGTATATCGCCGAATCCGCTTTTCCCAAGCAGCGATTCTCTGCTTCAGGTCGTCTATGCGCTCCGTCAGTTTTTGCATTATAATCCGGCTGGGACAAACTAAAATTTTTCCCAGCAAACGCCATCCTGACGGTGCGCACAATCCTCAGCCTGGTATTGCCTGACCTGAAGCATTTCAGTCTGCCGATGAGGGCCCTAGCCTTTGCGATACGTTCTTCAATTCTTGTTCTCCAGGCTGGGATACCACTACTTTGTCCAATAGTGCATCCAGTCGTGGAAAGTTTGGCACCTATAATACGGCAGACTACCAGTGCGGCGCTAAAGAGAATGAGTCCATCTCGCAAAGGTCCCGGCTGGCTTCCAAATAGGTCACCAGCATTGGGTTCAGAGCTCTCACGATAGCCCGATTCCGCTTGCTGAGGGCTATGCGGGGAAGTCGCGGTCGATTTTCGAGAGGCGTACTGCGCGTTTCCAAAATCGCCTCATCCAATGTACTCCTCATTCGCTCCAGTTCCAGTTCCTGGGCGACTATTCCATCATCGTTTGAATCAACCAAAACTGGGGTATTCACGGAGGCATCCACGTTTTCCGGTTGCTCTGCAAGTTATGGCGCCGCATCCTAAGCCGTAGCATTTTCATCCGATGAAATAACAGCCTCACATCGTAGCCGTTCTAGTTCGGTGACATCAAATGTATTTGAGCGCAAGATATACCGAAATCGGTCTATCTTGCGCTCCAATAATAATTCTTATTAATATTATTATGACTTTGCTCTTGATTTGGACGCTACGTTTTCACTGTGATTTTGTTTTTGCTATATTTTAAACTTGGTGCAATTCTTCATTCCATTCTTACTCGTGTTGTTAGTTGAGCGCTAGTCCATTCCGCTGAATTATCGTTTGTTATGTAACAACAACCTGTCACTGTTAAAAAAGCTATTGTTTGTTAAAGAAATATAATATTCTCATAACACATGCTCTATTATTTCAATGGAAATAAATTATTCTTTCATTAAAATAATAATTATAAATACGTAACAATCTTTCTTCGTTTTCTGTTCTGGTACTCGTATATACTAAAAATAAATTACTAATTCTTAATCCTAATTATATAGATTTACCAAGTGGTTGTGAATAAAGTATAACTATAGGATAAACTAAAAAGATCTAATGGCTTTCCAGAGATGACGATAAAACCATTTCTATGCCTGACGTAAAACACCCAACTTTGCGCTGAAGTACGTGCCTGCCAATATGCGATACCTGTGGTACAGCAGTTGTCAATGTGACTGCCAAATTTACGATCAAGGCAACAAAAGAAGTGGCCGACGTCCAGTGTTCGACTTTTACGAGCTAAGGACAAAGCTTCTTTAGATTTCTGAATTAAAACTTACTTTAACTAGTCAATGTCTCATTCCAAATCGCATCGTATTGAATTTGACTTTGAATGACCCTTGGAGGTGCTATTCAATGAACAAAATTCTGTAGACAAATTAACATTTGGCAGGCCCTGTCTTCACAGACTCAAACGCCATCTTTTCAAGGATCTACAAGGACTTGAACGGGTTAATAATTAAAAAGATTAAATGACAAAAACTGTATGAAATAAATACCTTACTTGTCTTTATGGTTTCCAAGTTACCAATCTTAAACCTTATTCCCTCTATAAATATATATTATGTAAGCACGCTGTTCGATTTCTTTATTACGGAAGCAACGGACTGAAAGCAGAATCGATAGTTTTATAAACACATACTTTTACAAAATCAAAGTAAAAGTACGTCGGCACTATTTGATCTTGAAGTCCATGTCGATATATGTAGGTTAGATACTTAAGTGCTATTTACGTTACTGGCACTGGTTATTTACGTTATTGAAGAAGTTACTGGTCACATATTTGACGTTCGTATTAAAATACTAGCTAATACCCGCTCGCTTCGCTGGGTGCTTGATAATAAACGACAGTAACGTAGATATAAAATATCAAGAATTTTCACCATAGTTTAAAATCAGAGAAGAAATAGCGTGCGTAACGTAAATATAAAATACAATCGTAATAAGAATTTCTTTCATTATTGGTTTTAAAACACTTTTAACTTTTTCATTTCAATCAATATAGGATATCAAAATCCACTGCGGAGCATGGGCCTCCCCATACTATGCCTCATATGGAGAATATTCGTCATATATTTTAGCAACCAAAGGTTAGTAGCAACCGCAGTTTTTTTAAGTTATTATAAGGAACGCGCTGCTGTCCACCTTTTGGTTTATTTTTCCATATAACCTCTTGCGACACCCACGAGCCGATATGAGGTATTGGATAAACTTAAACTGCTAATGCACTCTTAAAATATATAGGAGAAAGAGAGGCAGAACATAAAACATAACGAAGATATTTTAGTGTTCTGAAAATTCCGCGAGAACGAACTGTATTTGGCATTTATTTACTTCCGTAGATAGAGCCGGCTCAGGTCCCCATAGCAAAGATGTAGCGATTTTTGCTGACGGACACAAAACAAGTCAACTTCATTAAGAGTATATCTGCGATCTGTACTACTTTTTTGTTGTTTAAGGTTATATTTTTTGAGAGTTAATTATCACATCACCATCTTCTAATAATACTTTTCTAGCCCATTGAAACTACAACAATAACTACGGTGACTGCCTCTTTAGTTTAGTGGTTGTTAATTTGACTGCTGATCATGAGATGCCCATTTTATCGGGATTAAATCCCGAGTCGGGTCAAAATCAGTTATTGGGTTTTTCTGTCAAGAAATTCTCAGTAGCAACGAGGAATCAGGGAGTAGGCAGCCTTTCACACCCGAGCCTCGGAAAGCACGTATAGCTGTAAATACTGCGTCTGATTTCTCTCCGGCCATGTTGTTTACTGTCCCATAGGACTATGAGAATGAGGGAATAGAGCGTGCACTTATGCTTGAGCATTTATACGGGCGCTATTATTAAGCTATTGCATAGCTTCTATCGCGGGCCTTGAGCGCGGGGACCGAATCCAGAAATTCCGTAACGAAAAAACACCTCACGCTCCCCACTCCGACGGGCACGGAGGTGTGGCGTTGAAAGCCGTGCATCGTCTGACGTTGTTTTAGTTCGGCAGACTTCGGCACTCGGCAGACTTCGGCACTCGGCAGACTTCGGCACGGTGTTTGTGTGCGTGCGACTAGACGTATGCGTGTACACTAGCTGCTAACTCAATGATAAAATTCCTGAATAACCTACATGTATTGTAAGATATTAAAAATATTTTAAACCATATTAACTTCTCATTTATTCAATAAGAGAAAAAAAATTGTTTTCTTATCGATCACCACGCTCAAAAAGTGCAACTTGATTTAATATCAAAGACTTAACTGCATAAATAAAATAAATAAATAATCATAATTGCATAAGTTGATAAAAATGCTATGCAATAGCTTCACCGCGGCAGTCACAGAGTGCCACACGTATTTTTGTATCTTGCGTCGATGCTTATAATTTCCGCAGAGACTGACCACCATGACCGAAGTTCCATCTGGAGGAAAATATTATATATTTAGTCTTGTCATGGATTTAATTACAGAACATTATGAATCATAACTACACTTTAGTGTAAGAATATCCAGTACCCACTGCATCGCGTAGGTGTCGTAAGAGGCGACAAAGGGAAATTAAAATAGATGGGCAGCAGCATCTTGTTAATAATAGCTCCAAAGAAAAAAAAATGCAGTTGTTGACTCGCCTGCCAAGCGTGGCATCTGTGGTAAGATCCCCCCTATGGGGCGATCTATATGGGGATATCAATTTTATTATCTATAATGGACAGATGGTTGAAGCTTAGTAAAATTTTTATCTTCTTTTTATAAAGCTGATATGACAAACGAGCCTACAGTGCACCTGATGGCACGTGATTACTGAGGCCCACAGATACATGCAACTAACTTCGTACAAAGAAATATTTACGTAATGAGTTTTTACTGATTATATCGCGTAATAAGTTAATATTATTTTACATTCCCGACCTTTCGGGCATTTTGTAACACCCATGGTCACGGGGTGGACTGAGGGTGTGATTGCGCAATCCCACACTGGGACGTCGAACACCTCAATTATAAAATCCGTAAAAACAAGTTTTATTTAAAACTATTTACGTGGTATAGCCATGCTGCAGTTATATTATGGTTGTAGCACGAATGAGTCGGGACGACCGGAAAAGGAGCACGCTCTCTTGAGTATAAGTATAAAATAGTAGCTTAATGCTAATGCCTGATGTTTCGTGTGTTGAGTGAGGAGAACCAAAAACTTTTTAAAGGATAGAAGGCATTTCATTTTATCCTCAGAGGTGACAACGTGTTTGTATTTTGGTTCTTAATTGAGGAAAAAAATTTGATGTCTATGGGCCACAGCATCCACTTACCTTCAGATGTATATATTACATGGAAAAAGCTATAGTTGGGTTGTCACCTCTAAGGACTAAGATGGAGAACCACTCCCTACTACCTTCTTTCATTTACGTTATCAGTCCATCGCCATCGAGGACTTATGGATCTGAGGCGTGGTTATTCACTGCTGGCCGTATGAGGAAGCTCGAAGTCGCTCAATGAGCTGATTTAGAGCTCGAAATGTTCTTCGAAGTTTTGTCGAGTGGTTAGCTCATACCAGTAAGCAAAGTGTAGGGTAAAGCTCTGATCCATCTACATCCAACACCTTGCTACACGTATTACCATGATGTCACTTCTACTATGTGAGGGTGCCTTAAAATTCCCTTACCTTTTAAGGATACCGTCAAAAGTAATTTCACCTAAAATTTATGTTAATGGCAACCGAATTTTTAATATTTTATTTCTTGACAGGAATATGCTACTGCCCTTTTTCCTTTTCACAATTTCCATGAGTAATGACAGCGTAAGTCTATTATGATTACATGGGGTAGTATGTAATCGTATGCAAACACTTCTTGTCATATATTTAACAAAAGAAATTTTATAAACAAAACAAAACACTATAATGCATTCACAATTTATCACATCGCATGGGACGTACTTGAGTTTTGAGATATTTCTCTCCAGCTTAACGATGCATGAAA